GACTGACCACAAACCTCTGGAATGTATTTTCTCACCCACATCGAAGACCTGCGCTACGATCGAGAGATGGCACCTCAGGATGTAGCCCTATAGATTTACAGTGAAATACATTCCAAGGCCCAAGAACATTGCAGATTCATTGTCACGTCTCCTGCGTCCAGTACCACAGTCAAGAGACGAGAACGAAACATGTGAAGTGGGTAGCTCAAGAATCAACGCCTGTTACCTTGACAACTCGTGAAATTGAGAGAGCATCTGAACATGACCCAGAGCCGAAAGGTGTACGAGAATGTCTTTTGATTGGGAGATGGCATGCTATAGAATTCAAGGAGTACCTGCCAGTGCGAGGTGAATTAAGTGCATTGGAAAGCTTGTTCTTCGTGGAACTCGAATTGTATTACCAAAGCAACCTCGCTGTCAAGCACTGAAGTTGGCGCATGAAGGTCATCCTGGAATTGTGGCAATGAAGCAACGCTTGCGCACCAAAGTGTGTTTCCAGGCATTGACAAAGAGGCGGAAGGAGTTTGTAAGACCTGTATGGCCTTCTGCACCATGGCAACATCTAGCGGCTGACTTATTGGGTCCACTGCCTTCCGGTGATTACGTCTTTGTCGTGGTGGACTATTACAGTCGATTCTTTGAAATGGAATTCACCAAATCTACTACATCTGAAAAGGTTATATCAATGCTGTCCAAGATTTTCGTCACTCATGGCCTTCCTTTGTCCCTCAGGACGCACAATGGGTCGCAGTTTGCCAGTGACTATTTCAAGAAGTACTTAGAAGGGAATGGAATTGAGCACCGGCGAACCATACCCTTATGGCCACAGGCAAATGGTGAGATTGAAAGACAAAACCGCAGTATCCTGAAACGCCTGTGTATTGCCCAAGCAGAAGGTCGTAACTGGAGATCAGAGATGGACGACTTCTTAATGATGTATCGTAGTACACCTCATTTTACAACTGGGATTAGCCCAGCAGAATTGTAGTTTGGAAGACGCATCACGACCAAACTACCCCAGCTGTAAGAGTTTACTGTTGAAGATGAAGTCGGAGACCGTGACAGTGTAAGGAAAGAGAAAGGGAAGGTGTATGCAGACTGCAAAAGAAACGCACATGAAAGCAAGATTCAAGGAGGTGATAAAGTGTTGTTTCGAAAGGAGAAAGAAAACAAACTGTCGACGACATACAAACAGTCTCCATTTACAGTTGTTCAGAAGAATGGTAACAGTGTTCTTGTTGAGGCCGATGGTGTACAGTACCGTCGAAATGTGACCTATGTGAAAAAGCGAGATAATGTACCCCAAGCCACCAGTAAATCATCAGATACCACAGAGGCTCAAGG